AGAAACTGATGGCCATCAAGATTTAGGGGCCTGATGTTAATGCTTTGAAAGTGTACAGGCTTTTCACTCTCTGAAACCTTGGTTTCCCAGCATGAAAATATGAGACTAGTATTATAAGTTCATCCATGTCACCTGTTACTGTGAAGACTGAATGAATGGATAACGTGCAAACGCTTTGCTGGAGCTCAAAGCGTAGCTTCTATCCATCCACTATTTATCGAGGGCTGACAAGTTTACTGGACACTCTTGGTTCTTGGGTTCTGAGCCAAGACAGATGAGCAAGTCAAGGCTTCATGGAGCCAGTATTAGCTCTCTAGGCTTCCCATTCAATATTAATGAATACTCTATTCATTTGTGACAGCCGTCTCTTTGATAGAGGACCAAAAACTAGTTCATATGGAGAAGGATGCAAGATGAAGACTAGAGAAGCTGGAGGAGACGCTGTTTCAACTGTCCACTTGATTCAGAGCTATTCTTGCCTAATGGCCAACCTGTTGTGAATAAACAGTATCCCTCTGCTAAAATCTTACCCCTTTCTTCTGTCTACCACCACCAGGTTTGGGGGTCACCCTCTCCTTGTTCTTATAACAGCCTATGCTTAGCTCTGTTAAGGCACCTACTACACTGTATTGAAATCATTTCATTACAGGAAGCCCTAAGCATCTTCACACAATCCCATCCGAGGCCAGGCGGAGGTCTGGCACCTAGTAGGTCCTGGGGAAAGGTCCAACTCGGTGCTCATCTTTGAAAATCATTCTCCCTCTCCTCTAGCGCACAGCAAGCCACCAAAGTTGCTTCTCTAGGTGCCGACATTTTTACAAAAATCAGGATCATCTTCAACATAAAGGAGAACATTTACCCCCATCTGAGCTGAAAGCTTTTTCCGAGTCCACTGTAATCACCGTCATCTGACAGCCATCCTTTACCCCCTTAGTTATGCTTCTCAGCCCAACTGGTACACCCAGGAGGGAACCGCCGAAATTGTTTGTGCCACTGGCCCCTCCTCCTTTTTCCCCTAGAAGAGTAAATACAGGGAAAATGGCTTTGCTGAGTGCTAGAAGGTAAATTAATTAAAAACCCCACAACCCCAGTCAGCCATAAAAAACCCTCCCTACAGGAAATTGGTTCTATAGCTGCACAGACATAATTCAAGACATCTTTCAAGACATGGCCTTTTCAATGACGTTAAAGCTATTACGCTGACTGATGGGGTGTGCTGGACCCGACTCGTCTCTCCCAAGATAAGACTCCACCACGTGTCCCGTGGAGGCTTAATTAGATTTCACTTCCATTAGAAAACCACAGACACACACACAAGATCATCGGGTCCAAGCCTGGGCAAGAGGGGCCATAGAACGTTTCTATTATCCAGTTAGTCTTTCTATAAATGGATGTATAAATCCTCACATATCCTCATGCAAATTGTGGACTTTACCAACTGTTGCCCGTGGAACAATTCCAACTTGCTGGGGAGGATTTATTTCTTCATATGCACAAATGTCAGGGTGGTGGCACTTCCTAGACAGACTATGGTGACAAGTACAAGCATTTTAAAGATCATAACCAGGATGTTCGCCTGATAACAGAACCCCATCATTTTAAGGGTGGCAGAGCGTAGAGCCTCCCCCAAATCCTGGGCAGTTTTTTAATAGAGACTACT